ACTTTTATTTTGAATTTTCACTTGTATCTAGGCCTAACGAGTATGTATAGTTGTTATGAAAATCGCGTTAAGCAGACGGTGCGATAGCATTATACTTCATTTGTACAACTACGTCTGTTAGTGAGAAATATATTGCTTGTAGCTCTCAGCTAAAAAATGGTAGCATATCTTATAATGTAACCATAAAATAACCATCGCAATATCCTCTATTTTCTATACAAGCTTTTCTGTGTAGCATTGACCAGCCGAACGTGACAACTATCTCTCTCATAGACGTTGGATCCTGCGACCTTCAAGACTTGAACTCGTTTTAACTCCCGTTTATATTCAACTTTTACAAATAGTTTAATATGAAAAGATATTTGTCCGTCCCTACAAACTTTTCCAAAAACGAACGGCTCACTGTGGTATGTTTCATGATAATTCCAATGTGAACGGAGGAGTCGAAAACTCCATTAAAAGGCTATCCTGCAATGAATGTTTTGACGTAGCTCGTTACGGAGAACTCAAATACGGCGAGGCACCAGTCTTTGAAATCAAATTTAACGTCTCTACATCAGAAAACGTTACTATTCTTGTCACCTTCTAAGATGAATGCTCAGGAGGAAATGCTCAGATGGTAGTTATCTTATTAATGGTCATCCGTATAATATGTATGTCTATGTAGAACTCGTAATCGTTCAAGAATCCTACGCAAGTTTGCGCAAGAAAAAGAATGTAATATACCTTCCAACTAACAAACACTGTATCTTTTCGGACGCCCATTGCTCACCAATGATAAAGCCTACACGTTCTAAATTTTGACTCCAGAACCTTTATATGCAACTACAACAAATACGAAGCCTTATGTCAGGGATAAGGCGTCAAAGTACAGGATAACGTCACCAACATTTCTGATGTATATTTCACTAACTCAACTAGTGATATACAATTTGGATTATCTGCCGGATAAACTTTTGATCTCTGCGGATACTACCTCATCATTATAGAACGCCCAAGACTTTTAAGCGTTGAAACTGAATTTGGACACTCTTTCCCAGTAAAACAACTCACTAATGATAAGAAAATTCTGCTGACAGACTATTCAAACATCAAACTTCTTCACTTTGTGGGACATGTGAAGAATCAATTTGATGAAGTTACTGCAATATAGTCAAACACAGATGCGAGCTGAAGAGGCAAGTATAAAGAACTTGCTATTTCTAGGTACCACCGCATAAGATTAATTTGCGCTCATCATTACAAAACTGCTCGGCTATACCACTGTGGTTACTGGCGATATTGCACATATATATCAAGTACCAAGAGATAACCTGTCGCTTACGTAACAAACTAGATTACTACCACGTCCGTATGAGAAAAAAGGATCAGCTAAAATTCAGACTCGAAACAGGGATCACACCGCTTCTCGATAAAGGACCTGATCTTGCCAACACCGAGGAGTCTGCAAGCTTGTTACCTGTGGTGGAAACTTGGCTGCTTTTAGCATAAGCTTTTGACCTAACCATATAGCAGCTATTCCTTAGCCGTCGAGTCGTGGACGGACGCCTGCGATCAGCAGACCACCTATTGTTATTCCCACGGCACACACTGTGGTATTATATTAAAACACCAAAAAATTATATCCAAAATGAAATATCTCAACTTAGAATTGACCGATTTTGATGAAGTCGATTTCAATGTAAAGCTAATTACTTATAGAATACAGGAAAACCTACAACGAGTGTCGAAATAGATTTCCTATCCTTCAAAAAGTTCGTGGAAATGCAAATTTTTTGAGGCTGTAGATCTTTAGAGTAAAAATTAAAAATAATTATTTTTAATAAGAAAATATAAGTTTAAAGATAATTTACTGAATAAATAGAAGTTGAAATTCATCATATATTTTTATAGAATTTTTAAGTACTTTAAACACCCAGAAGTATAATTAAAAGTTCAATACTGTGATTTTCTTTTTGTGGCTTATTAAATACTTTTCAACTATCGGCCAAACATAATTTTCATATTTAAATACAATTTTACCACAAAAAATTTGTTATTACCTGACATTTGATGAATTTCAACTTCTATTTATTCAGTAAATTATCTTTAAACTTATATTTTCTTATTAAAAACAATTATTTTTTATTTTGACTCTAAAGATTTACAGCCTCAAAAAATTTTGCATTTCCACGAACTTTTTGAAGGATAGGAAATCTATTTTGACACTCGTTGTAGGTTTTCCTGTATTCTATAAGTAATTAGCTTTACATTGAAATCGATTTTATCAAAATCGGTCAATTCTAAGTTGAAATATTTCATTTTGAATATAATTTTTTGGTGTTTTAATATAATACTATAGTGTGCGGCACCCCTGCCAGCAGGACTGCGATTTCGCCGGCGACGCGTCTCCACTTGTGAGCTGCAGATCCTGTCACCCGGTGAGTCGCTCTCCGGAGCCTAATAGTTTCTCTTTCTCGCACAGCTCTCGCCCGGTACAACATCGTCGTCTGACGTACTATCCGCGCCGGTAGTATTGAGCGAACTCGCTCCTATCTTTCACTGTGTTGTTGCGATTTCGCGGATTGAGCAGATACGTTCACCCACTTCGAAACGACCGATTTAATTCCCTTGTTTTGTATAGTAACGTGATAAAAAGGTCACCTTTTTGTAATATCGTAATCGCCAAATCATTGTTTGTTCTTTGCTTATCTCCCCTTTCTCTTCTCGTCATTGTCTTAGATTTGCTCTGATGGGAGTCAGCGCCGGCTTCCTTTACTGAAATAGAATCCGTAAATCGCAGGGTATAGTAGTGACGAACAGTAGCTATCCGGAACCTTTGAAAAGTACCGAAGAATCAGAGTCAAGCGTGCGTAGAAGGTAGGAGATATCTTCGCCATTGACCCGTCAAGCAGAAAGGTATCATACTATGCCAACAAGGATTACATTTAAAGATGAAGGCAGAACTCCTAGCGAAACTCTAAGCAAAGTACGCGAAGCTTTAACTGGTACACGTGAGCAAGATTGAGAATAATATAACTGGAAATATAAAACCAAGACACTCAGTGCCAAATAACAAAACTCGAGCCGCGAATGTCAGCCCTTGGTGGTAACTGACATTTGAAAGAGTTCGTTGGACGGTGATTTTTTGTGTACTGATAGGTTAACCACCACTATATTGAGAAAATTTAGGTTTCTGCCGCTAATTATGTATTATAATATAGAAATTCCCGGCTTCTTATTATCCATTTTGCCCGGTATCGAAATACACTCACTTGAGGAAGTTCAAAATCTCCTGGAATGAATGATCTGTTAACGTCACTAGATTCAAAAAATGGAACCGTCTTCCTTAAGCTCCAAATTTTTTCTATGGGCGAAGGTGTTACATCCTCGCAAACAAATATTTATTTTTTCTTCTCTCGATTTTACAGTTATTTTTCGTTTCTAAGCGTTTAAAAACAATTACAGGCAAATTCGTTGTTATGGCACAATCACTGCAAATACATGTGCCTAGCCGCTGACTGTGAGAAAACTTTTAACAAAAGTTTTCCCACAGAGACAAACAGCAAAAGCAGATGAAATTAATTTGCGACGCGAAATCAACCCACAAGCATTATACTAGATGTAAATCGACCCCGTCACTAACAAGCGTCTGCTAGAGTGGATCCCATTTTCTCCATAGGCCAAATATCTAAATCCTGTAACTTGTGATGCGCTAAGGTAAGCATATGGTTAGCTCGTTGCCGTAAAGTGGAGAGATCGAAATAAAGATTCCATTACTCTCCTTTTTCGCATCTATCATATTTACAATTGACCCCTCCCTTCTTTCTTCATTCTCTCCTATCAAAATCGACAATGCTTTCTACCAAGAAGAAATAAGAGACACCGATTCTCATTATCTGAGATTGAATTTAATATTCTCTTTGCTTTCTTGCTCAATAAAATTTCTTCTCATTTATTTCTACCTATCGTCTCTAGACTAGACAAGGCATGTATTTCTGAATTTTTCACTTCGCGCGTTGTTCTATGATTCCAAAAGAAAACGTGAAAAATCAAGTTTAATATCAATCCACCTGTAAGTTGCAAAAATGTGTCCAAGTTAATGTTATATTGTGTAGTTAAATATACTCGTATAACTAGAAACTCAAATAAACAGCGCGATTTTTTTGTGTCAAACAGTAATTCCGAGCTCCTCCGGCTCTTTTTTATTCAATTTTACATAATACTACTATATTAACGTAATTTTAAACCCTATTAAAATTTTCAGTTATATTAACGCAGTACTGAGAAATGTATTCGAGTAACTATATATTTCAAATGTCATTTTGTGTTTTTTATCAGTGCAGATTTTTGTTTTAACCGTTTGTAGTATACGAGGAGTACCGTGCTTATTCTACTTATAATACACTAATCAATACTATTATTCACATGGTCGTGACACAACTGATCATCCGACGGTAATATCAGATAAATTACAAACATACTTGATTTTAAGAGGAAGCTGATCATCTGTTCTTTTCGTACGTAGATTTCTACTTAGAAATTATTATTATGGGGTTTACGGAGGTGATAAGTTTCACATATCTCTATTCCCCTCAATACATACCATTTATAAAAAGGTAAAATTGGTATGTGAGTAGACGTCAGTAACTAGAGTTTTTTAATTCAAATTAGCGCACAGAAAATATAATAACAATAAGGACTGTGAAGCGCCAATTATCAACATTAACTGCAGCTCGCTTTGTTATTTATAGAGACAGATATAACATATTTTATCACAAAAAATTATAATTAACATTTCATACTCACAATCAAAATTACGATTTCTTTACACTAGGCACTAACAACAAAACAATTTATTTCTATATAGTCTTTAGTTAGTGCAGCTTATTCGTATGCCAATTTTGCTATTCTAGGTATACATGTAAATCTTAAGTATCAATGAAAAAATATTATATATATATGTATATATATATATATATAATAGAGCTATAATTTACATAAATAATTCTTTATTTCAGTGCCCTATGGGATATTGAAACTGGTCAACAATGTACATCATTCCTTGGTCATACAGGTGATGTTATGTCGTTATCATTAGCACCGGATATGCGTACATTTGTTTCTGGTGCATGTGATGCCAGTGCTAAGCTCTGGGATATTCGTGAAGGATCATGTAAGCAGACTTTTCCAGGACATGAAAGTGACATAAATGCCGTGACGGTATGATAATTAACAAGCAACATTATTTTATATTCAATCTTTGATCATCATTTTGTAATGAAATTATAATAATATATTATAAAAATTAAGTTCGAACTCTAAGATAAATTTGCAACTTAACATTTCGAGAGCAAGCAAAAATTTAACAAAGAGATGTGATCGAAAATAATAAAAATAATATATATAGATGCGCTCTTACGCAAACATTGACAATCTATAATAAAACTTTTGGAAATTTGCTACTCGGAATCGAAGCCGTGAGGATAACACTCTTCGATGGCTGCGTGACGTAGAGTAATCGAATTTCAATAGTAAATAGAAATATTATTCGTCGAATTACAAACTTAGTTTAAGCCGATGCAGTTCGCTACATCGATACACTATTCGAAATTTTCGTCGTATTTATCCGGGAAAAGCCAAACAGCGCCGTATAGAAACTTGCCAAATAAAATTCGACAATCTTCTAGACTTACAGTGATATCATAATTTCCGGCCGACATTATCAATTTCAAAATTGGAAATTTTGGAAAAAATGTATTTGTCATGTTTAAAGAAAAATTAATAATGGTAACCCACCTCAGCTTTGTATTCAGCAATCTAACGTATTCGGGGATTTACGTATGATATATTTATTTCATGCACGTTGTTTTACATACCAGTATAATATTTGTATTAAATACATTATTTTATTGTTCAAATTTTTTGCAACAAAAAAACTAACAGGGTAATAAAAGAATTTTATTCTCTTTTTTTTTATGGCGCTAAAATACACGACAATTTATTTAACTTTAATATTTTTTATACAATTAATCTATAATTATGGTATACAAAGAAACATTTCTGACAAGTAACGATATCCAAGTGTAAATCTCTGATCTTTCTAAAATTCTGTTCACTTATTCAGTATCGAAAAATAATAGACACATATTTTCTAATTTCAGCAGTGTGTCATTTTGAAGCTTGGAAATGACTATTTAATGTTTACACTTGTATAGCATACTACGTACACGTAATCTAGAATCTGTTGATCTTTAACAGTCTGAATCAAAATTCAGTACCTATTTATTTCTATCCGATAGAAGATTCTACCAGAATAGAAAGCCCAAGGTTCAATGCAACATTCATAAATTTTTTGAGTCCGCTGAATCTGAATCTAATATTTGTTTCATCTTATTCGACCTTGTCCAAGGCCACTTCATGGTCAAGCCTAAGAAAAACTGTCCAACCGATCCCAAATTTTGCATGAACTAATAGGGTCAAAAAAGTAAAGATACTGGTTTATTACGCGGTGAACCATTGAAAATATTTAAGATACTATAAAAAAAAAGTATATTGCCAATTTAAAGTTTTTATATTTAGTAAAAAATCATTACTGTTATGTGTATCATATCTATTAATAATATATACCAGTGTTCCTAGAGCAATTGTAGCGAGCAGACGTGTATCGACGTCTCCGTGTACAGTTGCTTTGTTTACGTTTGTGCTTATAACATAGTGATATGTAAGCACTACGCTTTCATCGCGACCTGAGGCATATCGCAGCTTGCCACGATTTGACGATAATTTCTCGCAGTTTTTTTTAACTGCAAAATCAACCAGCTATGGTTCTTCTAGCGGAGGGCCCTGCTAAAATCCAGGTTAAACAAAGTGCTCCAGTCTGTCAAGTTCCATTTACATACGCTCAAGCTACATACCAGCCTAAAAGCGAACATGCTATTGTTATCGAAGTTGTAGAAGGTTTGACATTGGATGATTATATCGACGGGCTTGAAAAATTGATCAATGTTAACGAAATCAAGTTCATCTCCAAAATCTCCGGAGGGCGTGTTTGTATCTTTCTCTCAAACCAAACTATCGTACAAGATCTCGAAAATAAAAGTATTCAAGTGCTCTATCATCAACTCAATATACGACCTCTCATTGAAAAAAACAAACGTATAGTGATCTCCAATGTTAAACCCGCAATTCCAAATCAAGTCTTTGTCAGTGCTTTGAGTGAACATGGAGTACATATAGTTTCCATTATTCATCATATTCGTGCTAGCACCAGCAAACCTGGTCGCTCTCACATTCTTTCGTTCCGACGCCAAGTCTACATCAAAGAAGGTGATGAGTCGTTACAAATTAATCACAACACAAGTTATTGAATATTCTTCAGTACCGACTCTACTTGCTGTTTCACGTGTCATAAAGCTGGGCATATTTCTAGGCAATGTCCCATTAATAACAACACTCCTCCGTCTGTTATGCCCTCACTCGAATCCATTGATAATAATGAAATTAGCAAAACATCATCACCTCTTATTCAAGAAGCTACGAGGGTGGTCCGATAAGTACTTAGCCTACAAAAGAAAAACGAAAATTTTGTAAAAGTGGCGTTTTATTTTTCAACATAGTCTCCTTTTAGTTCGATACACTTGGCCCAGCGATGCTCCAACTTGTTTAACCCGTCTAAAAAATACGTTTCCTCGAGGTCTGAAAAGTAGGCTTCCGTGGCAGCGATTACCTCCTCATTCGATTCAAATTTCTGCCCGGCGAGTGACTTTTTCAAGTTTGGAAACAAAAAGAAGTCGCACGGGGCTGAATCTGGAGAATACGGTGGATGGGGCAGCAGTTCGTAGCATAATTCGACCAATTTGGCCATGGCGACGGCGGAGGTGTGAGCCGGTGCGTTGTCATGGCAGAAGAGCACTTTTTTCTTCGCCAAATGGGGCCGTTTATTCTGCAATTCGACGTCGAATCGGCCCAATAATTCGGCATAGTACAGCCCTGTGACCGTTTTGCCCCTCTCCAGGTAGTCGATGTAGATCACAACTTCTGAATCTCAGAAAACGGTGGCCATCACCTTTCCGGCCGATGGGGCAGTCTTCGCCTTCTTCGGAGCACTTTCGCCGGGTAAAGTCCACTGTTTCGACTGTTCCTTGGTCTCTGGTGTATACCAGTGGATCCATGTTTCGTCGACTGTCACGAAACGACGCAGAAACTCCTCCCGATTGAGTTTAAGAAGCGTCAGACATTGCTCTGAAGTTGCCTCACGGTTGCGCTTGTTGTCCGGAGTGAGCAAACGTGGCACCCATCGCGCCGACAGCTTTCTCATGCCCAAAATTACATGCAGAACATGACCCACGCGGTCTTTTGAGATGCCCGCGATCTTAGCTATCTCGCGCACCTTCAATCGTCGATCTGCCAATACGAGATCGTGAATTTTTGTCACGTTATCCTCCGTGGTAGCCGTTTTCGGAGCACCTGGACGTGGCTCTTCAAAAATCGACGTGCGACCACGTTGAAACTCGTTAAACCAATTTTTGACGGTCGCCATCGAAGGAGAAGAGTCACCGTACACAGCATCCAAGTGCTTTTTGATTTCGCTGCGCGATTTCCCTTCCAAAAACAAGAATCAAATTACCGACCGATACTGCTCTTTTTCCATTTTTCAAAAATCAATCACTTGCTTTCACATGCTCTCAAAAATAAACTACAACTTCGATCCGGCTGAAATCTTGACAGTAACCATCGAGAAGGTTGTACTACGTGTTGGAGTATTTCTTTTGCGAGAGTGGAACCATCGGGCGGTGAGGCTAAGTACTTATCGGACCACCCTCGTATTCCAATGAACGTTCCCTATGAAGTACCCGTTTTGGATAGTACACCCCCTAACGTAAACTCTTCTTCATCTGATATCCTCCTACCAACAAACTCTCATCAAAAAAGAGCTTTATCTACTTCTAGTAACTCTTCAACCCCCAGTTTTTCTGATATCAAAGAAAGAATCACTCGTAACATTAAGCTATCTCAACCTGCCTTGAAACCTCCCCTAAAGGAAAAATCCAAAAAGGACGCTGATGAGCAGCCTGACTCTGATACAAACGACTTTGACGACATGGACGACATTCTAGCATCGGTCAAAGGTGAAATCGAGATCAACAGCTCTTCATACGTAGTGAACTACGAAAATTTCAAGCAATTCCTTATAAAATTGTACGGCAAAAGCAACGCCTGTGAAATCGCTCTTGAATTCACAAACGATCTCAGTGGGCTCTCCAATATGATTAGAGAGCTGAAATGTCTCATTTATGAATCGAAAGTAATGTACGAGACTGGTAACTAAATTACAAAACCATGATAAATCCGGATCCAAAACTGGTAGAGAGGGTGATTCGTCTGACGGGTAGAAATGGATTACTCCAATAAGTATAACAAATCTAAAGTTCTGCCAACTAAATCAAAAGTTATTTTCTGGAACTGCCGAAGTATCAAAGCTACAATTGAAGAATACCGAAGATACTCAAGAAAGTTCACATCTTAGTATGTGTTGAATCCTGGCTTCATCCTGATCAAGATCGTAGTGTGCATTTCTCAGGCTTCAAAACTCTGCGGATAGATCGTCTCCACAAGCAAGGTGGAGGTATAGCTGCTTTTATTATAAATAATATAGCCTATGTTGAGATTACAGACTTGCTCTCACCTAATATTGAATTTGGAACTCTGTTTTTGATAATATTGAAGAAGATACTCACACAGTTACCATGGTCGATTTTAATGCCCACCACACGGCCTGGAACTATCATGATTTCGACAACAACGGCGAAAGACTCCTTCCATCCCATAATAGCTCTGATACATATTTGCACAACTCTGACTCATTGACTTTTTATCGTGAAAGATCAAATTACTACTCTAATCTCGACTTAGTATTCTCTACTAACAATATTGCTGATAAAATAAATGTAACTGTGAATGATGAAACCTGGGGATCGGATCACTTTCCAATTTTTATTGATATCAATGTTAATAAATCTTTATATCGAAAAAAAACATTTAATCTCAAATCTACAAGAACTAACTGGCACGATGTTAACCAAAACCTCGTTGATAGTTTTAACAATTTTTTGACTGTTGATTTTGATTGCGCATTACCTTGCGATAAATACGCTCTGTTTACCGACACCATTACCAGTGCTATTAAGGCAAATACTCCAATTAAACGCAATGTAAATAAT